TTATATTAAATGAAAACCTTCATTAGGCGTACACAGGAGTGTGAAAAACGTTCAACCTAGGCAAGAACACCTTTATGATGTCGGACATAATTTTTACACCTTGGATAACCAAATTCAACATCAGTGTCTGTGTGAATAAACTTTCGAGACAGATTCAGTCCAGGTCATATGTTTATCCCTGATTTGGATTTTATTAACAGTTCATTTGCGACATAGTTATTCCTTAAGTAGCAGTATTCCTACTAATAGACTGCTATAAGTAGATTTACTTTTTTTGAATGGATCACCTACGTGGCGCAGTGGTTAGAGCGTCTGCTGTAGAGTCGCTGAGTAAGGAGTCGATCCTTAAGTCGCGGGTTCGAATGCACTGTAGGACGTGGAGACCGGTCCTTCGGATGAGACTGTATAAACCAAGGTCCCGTGTCGCAGTAGGTGTTGGCACGAAAAAGATCCCCCACTGCTCAATGACCCTGAGTGCCGGGTAGGACAATTTTTCAGCTCTCCGTCGGCAAGTGGTGGCGTCTCCATATGAGTGAAAAATTCTCGTGAGGGACGTTAAACAACAAACAAACAAACAAACAAAACTTTTTTGAATGACAAGCAGTGCATATGTTTATCTCTGACTTGGAATTTTTTCATCCAGGTGTACATTTATGGCTCTTGGTTTCATTTGGTACAAGGTAGGACATCTGTTTGTTCATACCAGCTCATTAATATGTGTGGAACTATCATACAAACGTTTCAAAAGGACAAGCAGGACATATGTTTATCTCTGCAGACTGGAAGGAGATTATTCCTTTTACAATTACTTTTTATTTTTGACAGGTATACTTGCACTTTACCCCTTTTTTCTTTCTTTTCCTTGGGGTCTGAACTTGAAGAATGTTTTTATATTATGTAATCATTTACGCTACATATTATGTAATCAATGTTTACTTATCAATTATTTTCATAATTCGGTTTCATTTTGTTGTGATTTTTTGAGATAGATAATAGTAGCAAATTAATATTTTTATGGATTTCTTTACCAATATTACGTACACTGTAATTAATAACAATTATTTTCAATAATTAAAGTCACATTAGTGGCAAAGTGCAACATACCTAAGTGTTTTGTCGTTTATTGAAATGGAGAGTGAAGGCGGCTTTTTGAAATGCTTGGATACTATAATAACTGTGAGTTGGGTCCGTAACAGTACACAGAAATGTTAGGGAATGAGAAGTTCTATAAATGAGCTATTTTATTAAAGGAATTCGCATTGGCAATTGTACATAAATACAAATAAATGGTGAGGATGTGTGTAGCGCTAATTCATGATAACGCAAACTATTGAATACCCAGTAAATGCGCTAAATTTTGAATACGGCAATTTATGTACACATATTAACAGTATACTTTTCAAAGATACACCACCAGTCCATGAGTCTGTGTGTTTGTGTTTATTTTGGGTTTTAACACGGAAGTTTTGGGATTAAATTCTTCATCCCTTTAATTTACTTGAAAGACGACTATTTCGGTGTTGTACTTGAATTCTATCGATATGACATTCATAACTTAAATGATTAGCAACTTTGATTAAAAAGCTTGTATACATAATATATTACCAACTCTCAGGAATAAAGTGCGGGGATCTCCATCATTTGTAATTTTACTGTGTTGCAGACTTTACATGAACCACTAATATTCGCGGTATTTTCACGATCAAATTTGCTAATGAACCACTATTCATTATAATTAGAAAAGCATACACACACACCTTTTTTTGAAACACCAATTCGTTATACAAATGGTATGGTCGAACATGTTGATAAAAAATAAATTAATGGAATGGATATTTAAAAGAATTAGAATTTTTCCATATAATAATTTACATACAAAGTACTATAAGACAAACCAACTGTAACAACCCCCCCCCCCAACCCCCACCCCCCACCCCTCGGATCACACAACTGAAAAAATAAGTAAGATATAAAAAAAACTGAAGAAATATACTTGTATCACCGTCTACAAGTTGACCGTGAATATTAAACCTTGACATTTTTGTATATGCAATGTATATTGAACTTAATAATTTACACATGCTCTGAAGAGCAGAGGAAATTCTGGTCGATAAAATGGATCTACTTCCCAACTTTAAAAGTAAATATGACGTGATTTTTTTCAGTTAAACAAATTTAAAATTTAAAAAAAAGAAACTTTAGAATAGTAAAATACTTCTGGGGGTCTTTGAATTCTTCAACAATACATTAACATCAATAAAAAGATTACGATACCATGTTAGTTTGATTCACAGTGCCAACACAATTCTAGAAACGTGGTTCTGAATATTTATAATAAATTTTTAATTTCTAAATAATCTTAAAAATGCACTAGCAATTATACGATTACATGGAAGTCTGAAAACAAATTATTTGTCTTTGTTCCTTCTTGCGTAAAGTCCAGCGAGGGTCTAGGAGATAATTGATTATGCAAGGTGAAGCAAGACGAAGTGCGCTAATTAAGAGATAATTAAGTGCTCTGCCTAAAAAATTGAAAGACGGTAGATTTGTTTAATCAAAGTTTCAGTTAGAGAGAATTTATGTTCTGATTTTCTGATCTTCAGATCTTACTGTGTCGCGAAAGTTTTACTGTGTCGCACCCATAAAATTTGAATCGTTACTGTGTCGGGGAAAATTTTACTGTGTCGGGCAATTGTACATAAATATAAATAAATGGTGAAGATGTGTGTAGCGCTAATTCATGATAACGCAAACTATTGAATGCCCAGTAAATGCGCTAAATTTTGAATACGGCAATTTATGTACACATATTAACAGTATACTTTTCAAAGATACACCACCAGTCCATGAGTCTCTCTGTGTGTGTGTGTGTGTGTTTATTTTGGGTTTTAACACGGAAGTTTTGGGATTAAATTCTTCATCCCTTTAATTTACTTGAAAGACGACTATTTCGGGGTTGTACTTGAATTCTATCGATATGACATTCATAACTTAAGTGATTAGCAACTTTGATTAAAAAGCTTATATACACAATATATTACCAACTCTCAGGAATAAAATGCAGGGATCTCCATCATTTGTAATTTTACTGTGTTGCAGACTTTACATGAACCACTAATATTCGCGGTATTTTCGCGATCAAATTTGCTAATGAACCACTATTCATTATAATTAGAAAAGCATACACACACACCTTTTTTGAAACACCAATTCGTTATACAAATGGTATGGTCGAACATGTTGATAAAAAATAAATTAATGGAATGGATATTTAAAAGAATTAGAATTTTTCCATATAATAATTTACATACAAAGTACTATAAGACAAACCAACTGTATCCCCCCCCCCCCCCCTCGGATCACAAAACTTAAAAAAATAAGTATGATATTAAAAAAACTTAAGAAATATACTTGTATTTTTTTCTTTATGCTTTTGAGAATTGATTTGAAACTTGCTATGTACCTTTATAGTGAAAAACTACAGATCAAGTTTGAATTTTATCACGTTTTACCAAACGGTTCCAGAGTCATTCCTCTTTTTTAAAAATAGTTCAAGATCGGGTTCGTGCTGCACTATATTAATGTTACAAAACGAGGCTGTCCAATCTCCTATGCAGAGTTGTCGTTCGTTCCTCTCTCAGACACATGAATGTATGAACCGATGGTAGAGAGTGGAGGTTCTCAGGTTTAAAATTATTGATTTCAAACTTGCTAGGTAGCTTTATAGTGACAAACTATAGGTCAAGTTTGAATTCTGTCACGTTTGACTAACAGGTGCTAGAGTAAATCAGTTGTAAGCATTCCTCTATTTTTATAATCGGGTTCGCGATCGGGTTCGTGCTGCACTAAAATGTTCGAAAAACGAGGTCGTCGATTGTGACAGAAGACGGTAAAGTAATAGTGTGCATTGTTTTCAGCAATTCCTACCAGCGAGTACTTAATATACTTGGCGAAATAGTACCAGATGCAATAAAGACTGAATATTTTTCCCGATTTGATTTGTTTTTTATATCCCTTTTTATTTATAAGTTATAAATAAGATATAAATTAAAGGCAGAGATTTGTTACACGGTGGTAAATGCCAGGTTAGGGAAAACGAGTAACGTAAGCAATTGTCATGTTATTCATACATTATGCGATTTTAGTCAAACACGTCTTTGTAAGACAGATTTCATTCCAACATTTCATTCATAAACAAGTAATCCGAAATGTCCACATTGGGGGGGGGGGGGCGCAGTTATCATATACAGGGTCTTATAAAATGACATCCTAAAAAGAAAAGGGGTCGTCGATTGTGACAGAAGACGGTAAAGTAATATTGTGCATTGTTTTCAGCAATTCCTACCAGAGAATACTTAATATACTTGACGAAATAGTACCAGATTCATAAATAAGTAATCCCATATGTCCACATTGGGGGGGGGGGGGGGCGCAGTTATCATATACAGGGTCTTATAAAATGACATCCTTAAAAGAAAAGGGGATACCGGTAGGGGACATGTATTGCTTATGCAATACTCTCAGAATGGTTGTTTAATAATATCTTATGGCAAACAGTACACATGCTATAAAGCACAGACTTACCTCTCAAATGTCAAAAATAAACTGTATATTGGTTCCATAAACTTTTTGTAAAAGTAGGTCAAAGGCCAAGCTCAAGATCGACGTCCATAATCATGGTAATTTACAAAAGCCATAAGGCAAAGCAAAATATATATGTGAAAAATTTCAAATGCAAATGTCTTCCAGCTCTCAAGACATACAGCTAGAAGTACATACATACAGGCAGACGCCAGGTAAAGTGATCCCTAAGTGTCGCTCTTCTCTGCAGGTGACACAAAAATGATTGTTGAAACAGAACAACTAGAACAATTGCCAAAAAAATATTCTCTGAACAAAGAACAATGAATAATCAAAGGTACTGTACTGTAGGTGAATTCCTGTCACACTATGCCAAGATTCAATCACACGATCATTCAATTTTAATGAATCTGCTTAACAAACTCAGCCGCAGAAGTAATGTGTATTAGATTGACAGAACAAATTTATGATTATAGTTTCAGAATTTATTTTGTCTGCTCAAGAAATTTTAATTTTTCAAAAGCAAAAGGGATTTTTTTAATGCACAGATATTAATAAAGAAGCTCTTTTTGTGTCTTCTTACATCTTCCATTTGAATTACATCTCACATCGCGCTAATCATCTGAAATACATGTATAATATAAATTATTACATTTGATACATATATTTTTCTAATACAATGATTTAGTGTAAAATATTTAGATTTATATATCAATCTCCTATCCCCACCCCACCTCCAAAACATGATAAATTAGTAATAATATCAAAGGTAATCAAATTATTAAAACAATGAAAGCAAATAAAGTTTTTATTCAAATAATAAACTTGACATTTAGCATTGAGATTAATTTTTTAAATATTTTATACTTACATGTACAGCAAAAACCCCGCCAACCAAGTCTATGGTCGCAGTAATAGTTACTTTGACAGGGCCAGACAAAACTACATATTACGTTGGTGCATTCTCCATCACCATATATTTCTGGAAATTATTTTAAGCAATGTTTTCTTTTTAAGTCTTAAGACGTATTTTCATTGACCAATTCTATTAATGTTTTTTTCCCTATAAATTCTTTTCTGTTCATCATAAAACATATTTCAGGACAGATGATTAAAAAAAGATGGATGCCTTGATTGAAATAAATTTTAAGACCTTTTTTGGTTGTAAATAAAGCAAATATTAAATTTCTAAAACGAAATACTAATATTGTAATTTTGATTTTTATAATAAGATTTTACAAAAGCTTAATATTGTGTTCAAAATGCTAGCTTTCTATTTTTATACGTGTAAATCTATACAACTTAATATCAATTTGCAAATCATAATTGTGAATTCTACTACAATTATTGCCGAGATCAAAGAAATACCGCGGATTTTTCCTCAAATAAATCACGAACGTCATCAAAAAAATATAAAAAGAGAAACACATATCAAACTTCTAGAGTTGAAATGAATATTTTACTTTAGAATCTAAGACTTATTAAGACCATATCAATGTGTCATCTTCCGCAGTCTAAACAGGGTGTATTGCCTAAAGCAGCTGAAAAATGTCTATTTTTAAAGTTAAATGAGGCTGTTCCACGGAATTCCCCACAACATTTTCACATAAGGCAGTAAAATAGACAAGGGATTTTGTGTTTTTTTTACATTCATAAAACCAATATTTACAAACAAGTTTATAAATAATTAAAGGATATTTTTAACCCAACGAAAGATCAAATCGTCTGCATTCCATTGCAACTAATACACAAGTAAACAAACAAAGTGACCCTATGGCGTTAAATGGAACAGCTTAATCGCAACATGTTGACCTAATTCGTTTCTCTATAGAAGAAACAGTCGGCCATATTTATGACTGTTATTTTGTCTGTTTGTTTGTTTGTTTAACGTCCCTCTCGAGAATTTTTCACTCATATGGAGACGCCACCACTTGCCGGTGGAGATCTGCATATTTATACATATACTCGGCACTCAGGGTCATTGAGCAGTGAGGGATCTTTTTCGTGCCAGCACCTTCTGCGACACGGGACCTTGGTTTATACGGTCTCATCCGAAGGACCGGTCTCCTCCTCCCACAGTGGGATTCGAACCCGCGACATAAGGATCAACTTCTTACTCCGCGACTCAAGAGCAGATGCTTTAATCACTGCGCCACGCGGGCGACTCTTATATTTGAAACAACACTTCAATCTTACACTTTGAGGTTATACAACATTCACAAAAACTCAAACTTTATTTCTTAAACCTTGAATTACAAATGAATCGGGTAGAGTTATTAATTTCACTTTGTTAACATGTCTTCGTTGTTATTTTCATGATTTTTTTGTTAAAAAAGAGTTTTTTTATATAATTTATACTTAAGTATAACTTTTTCTAAACATATAACGAAATTCTTACCGTGAATAATGCTTAGCAGACAGAAAAGGAACACTAAAACAGCCAACACTTTTCCCATTTTAAGGAAGACCGCTGAAGATAATTTTTCAGTATTATTGGGATCTTTTTATTTCATCCTAGATTTTAAGCGGACCAATCATTACTTTGAATTTAAACTTAAAAAAAATAATTCAAATTTGAGTTAAATTACATGTCAGCATCAATCATTTGTGACATTGATGAAAGAAAAAAAAATGCAATGAATTAACATGTCATTGCAGATATGAATAAATTAACATGTCATTGCAGTATGTATGAATGTACATTATATACAAAATAAAGCGGATATTCTTAGAATCATTGAAATTATATCGACAACGTCAGAACGTGGTGTATGTGAATTTGTTCAGGAATTGTGCGTCTTTTAAAAATCATTCGAATCATATATTTGAAACTTCATTTGCTTTTTTCCTTTTAGTTTACGAGTCATCTATTTCACACGGTAGCCTAGTGGTAGGGTGCTCGTTTCGTGATCGGGAGGCCGGGGTCGCACACCGCATCAAACCTAAGACCCAAACATAGGTAGTGACTGTTCCTTCGCCAAGCGCCCGCCACAAGAAATGAAAGACACGGAACTTTCTGATGAGACCTTAAAAATCGAGGTCCCGTGTCACAGTAGGTGGTGGCACGATAAAAAACCCTCACTGCTCGATGGCCACCCCACCTACTCACACAAACAAGGCAAAAGCACATAAATTCTACATAATGAACTAAAGCAATGACAGAACTGCAAATACAGGAACTATAAGAAAGCATCTATATTTGTGTTATTTACATTATTAAGTCAGTACTCTTGCCTTTATCTTTTATTAAGAAAAGCTTCTTTTTTTAACTTTTATTTAAAAACTTTTCCCCCGACATGATAAATTGAGCAAAGCTTTTTTTTCCTCAAAGTTTCAATAAAGTTCTGGTTGCCTTGCTCTGACAACTGTACACCACCACTTTTAACTACTAGTAAGCTGTAATTAACTGTAGTGAACTGGGGGTACCGAAGAGTATGGTTGCCCTAACGTCACGTCAATTTAATCTAGGCAATACTTGAGACCAAATAATTGTGGTGTTTGCTAACTGTATCGAGAGTGAATCCAGAGAATTATCTATACTCTGACGCAAAACACCTTACGGAATTTGACCAATGTCATTGCCACTGCAATGTAGAACTAGAAATTGTATGGGGGGGGGGGGGTCTTCATACCTTAAATGAATTGATTTTGAGGAAAAGATGCCAATTCATGCCCGCCTTTGCTATTTCACTAGATATTAGCTTGTAATGTAGATAACCCACGATTGGACCCTCTATTTTGTCTCCCATGGCCAAAAGCATGCCTTATTATTGATGATCCAACAATCCATGAATGTTCTTACACCTTCTTAAATAAATATAAATAAAACATATCATACTATAAACTGAAATTTTGTGTAAATTGTTGTATGAACCAACTTTTTAGGGCCTCTAATTAGGGGACGTTGAATTGAATATTGTCTCAGCAGCTTAATTGGACAGATCTTTCCCTGTGCTGCTCGTAGAACCAAAGCAACCCTCTACCACGTTGGTCAGTTTTAGAATAAGCCAAATATTTTTTTTTTCTTCTGTATTGTCCTGAGAGAACTCAATGCTTGTGGCATCCATGGCATGAAAACTACTACTTTTTACTATCTAACACGAACTAACCAACCTAAAAAAAACAAACAAATGAACACGAAAAAACTGCTGAAAAAAACGAAGTCTCATAGGATGATCTACAAACGATTGTGAGAACATTCAATATTTTTTCCAAGAATTTGGTCTAATGGGAAATATAGCATCTACAAAGCTTTCCAATCTTGACATGCCTGCCACCATCGTTGTAATAACAATTTTCGGAGGATCCCGAGAACAAGCAAGTTTACATTTGAAACTTATACCAGACAAATACATGTAGGTACTAACAGATGTAGATGACAAACCCTTTAATAAACAACTTTTTACAAATTCTATTATATGTTCTTCAGAAGGAGGCCGAACCAGAGGTAACCTACAAGATAAACTGAAACGATCGAATTCAACTAAGCCTGTTTGACAAGCAATTTTTGTATTTGGTGCAATTGAACTCTGAACTAATCTGTCAAATTCAGCCTGAAGATGATGGTTAGAAAGGAATCTGGAATTGATGTTGGCTCCAAGTCTACCTGGGATGCAAGTAACGGAAACGTTGAAACTGACGAGATAATGAATTAGCAACTTCAGTATTCATACCTGAAATATAATAAGCCCTGAACTGCACATTGTTTAAGATGGAAGACTTTTGTTCAAAATTGTTATAATTAAGGCCTCATGATCAGCTTGTAAAACTATTTTCTTGATGAATAATTAACATTCCCAAAGCATGAATTCCTAAGAGAATTGTATCAAGTTCAAGAGATGTGATGTTCCTAATTACTTCAGTACCAGCCCATTCAGAGGGCCATTGAAATTAAAAGAATAAATGACTCCTAAAGAAAGCACCAAAAACCTAAATATGAATTCCCTGCAGTAAATAGTTGATCAGTTTTTATCCAGTATACTGGTGGAAAATAACAGCAGTTATTGAAAGGCATCTAAAAAGGTAAGCCATACATTCAAATCCTTTATAACTGCAACAGAAAACCTGATGAAGTGATGTGGTTTAGAAACACCTTGCATGGCATCGTAAATACGCCTAGTGAATGCCCTACTCGACTCGAAAGAAATGGCACACAAACAGAAATTCATCAAACCTGCAAGAGCGTGGAATTGCCTCGGAGTAGCCTTCTTTTTTGACATAAATATGTTGATCAAATCAGCTGGGATTCTTATCATCATTTTAACTTAATCTAACTTAAAACCCACAAAGGTTAGTGACATGGAAGGCCACACTGTTTTATCATCAGCTAAGGGACATCTAACTGCTGACAGAGCTACCCTGACGTTATATTGAGTTTAATTTGAAACTTTCAACAACAACAAAAAAAGCACAACCAATTAGCAAATCGTTTAGCAAAATTTCTGAATTCCTATCATAATCGTAATTTGTAGATAAACCAAGTAAACTTTCACTTGAATTGGAAAAAAACCTATGCCCTTTAGATTGTGGTACACTGGGGAATCGTGCTCTGGCTTGCTGGGGTGGTCTTGAAGAAGGAAACTGTCTTCTGTTCATTCATTGGTATCTGTGGCCTGAACAATTTCCAGAAGCATGTTGATTGTAAGGAGACCCTACACACAATTTTGATGGATAAAGGCAACAACAACTCAAACACTTATGCAAACAATTGCACTGCTGTTTTACACATACCCCATAATTGTTAAAATCATAACATTTGAGACCCCCCCCCCCCCCCCGCTCCTTAAGGTTCTTGAAGATGACCAATATATAATGGTACTATGTACATCAGCCAAAGTTTCTAATTAACGATTCCCCATGAAGAGCTTCAATTTATGCAGTTCTCATTCGAAATTCCTAATTAATAATTTCCACCCTGTACCTGCACTTCTGCTAGCCCCTAGTCGAACAGTGGGTATATACATGTATTTCAGCAAATCCAAAAAATTTTGTAGGGTTTACAGTGGCATGCATTGAAGAAAAAATCAAAAATGTATCAGTTCACTGCTGCACATTTGTACATTTTAATGTAGCTCGTTTCGGTTCAATTATTAGTTGACCATTAGAGACTGTCAGCGTTTGTTTATCATCCATTTGGACCGGATGAGATAGAAGCTGACCTAAATCAATCTACTCTCCCTTAACAATTTTTTGTTTGATTGATTCTGATACATTTGCGCTCAAACTTACAGATATACTGACAACTTCATTACTTTCTGTACAGCACAATATCTAACAAATTATTTACATACTGTCGCATATAATCAGAAAAAGTTCCATTTGAAAAAAAAAAAATGTTCTCCTTAAATTTAATACAAAAAGATGAATTTTTAACACAATACAAGAAAAAACAAACAAATTTACACCTTGAAATGACAAAGTGCGTCTGCTCTTTTTTTTCCAAATACAATTTTTCTTTTTCGTTTTCAAGGAAAAGGAAGTATCTACGATTTCACTTAAAGACGAAAGATCAGGAATAGGCTCATGATCCGATAACTCCAAACAAGGGCATCTATAATACCGCGATTTTTGATTTTCAGCAATAAAATCGAATTAATGGACAATTTCCGATCAATGAACCTAACTTTTTGCATAGTTAACGACAGTCTCCACGTATGACGTCCAGCTCTAGACTCTTCAGTTTGTCGTGATTGTTGTTGGTCTACCAGACGCCTCTTCCATCTGATAACAGTCCAACCATCTTTGAACCTCTTTTACCAGGTATAAACCAGTTCACGATACATGTGTTTATGTCGTTCAATCGTTTACATCTCCTCCCCGTATGAATAGGACCCATACTCTGCTCAACACAGCAATGAGTGATAATTTAATTTGGTACAATGTCTTGTTATAGATATATTTAACTAATAGTGTTAAACATTTAACATCATATTTTTAGCTCTACTGGTCAGAGACCAGAAGAGCTTATGCGATAGTAAGGTGTCCGTCGTCCGTCCGTCTGTCCGTAAAAAAAAAATTCAAAACGCTACTCCTCCTACAGTTTTGGTCTGATTTCAATATTACTTGGCACACAAGTAGACTACACTAAGATACATAATTTATAGCATCGGTTTTTGATTTCGATGAAAGGTGTTGCCATGGTTACTAAAAATAGAAATTTATGTGAAATTCCTTTAAAATGCTACTCCTCCTACAGTTTTGGTCTGATTTCAATACAACTTGGCATACAAGTAGACTACACTAAGATACATAATTAAGTGCATCAGTTTTTGATTTCAATGAACAGTGTTGCCATGGTCACTAAAAATAGAAATTTCTTTGAAATTCCTTTAAAACACTACTCCTCCTACAGTTTTGGTCTGATTTCGATATAACTTGGCACACAAGTATACTGTATAATTGTACATAATTTAGTGCATCGGTTTTTGATTTCAATGAACAGTGTTGCCATGGTTGCTAAAAATAGAAATTTCTGTAAAATTCCTTTAAAACACT